GGAAAGTTGACAGTCCGTCAAAGCTGAGATCATTTATCTAGAAATTGCTAAGGATTTAACCTCTGGACTAATTAAAGATTGTGGCAAGATTAACCTTTAAAAAGACAACTTTCTCGTGTTCTAGCAGTTAGCATCTGCAAAGGAAAGAGAAACCAAAGTCCCTTCGCCAAATAGGAAATACTCTTGGATGCCGAAGAAAAATCACGTTAAGAATATGGGGTTGGGGGGCTGGGGGTGTGGCTCAAGCGGTAGCRTGCTTGCCTGGCATGCGTGCGGCCCGGGTTCGATCCTCAGCACCACATACAAAGATGTTGTGTCCGCCGAGAACTAAAAAATAAATATTAAAAAAATTCTCTCTCTCTCTCTCTCTTTAAAAAAAAAAAAAAGAAGAAGAATATGGGGTTGGGCCAGGTGTAGTGGCGCACACCTGTAATCCCAGCAGCTGGGGAGGCTGAGGCAGGAGGATCACGAGTTCAAAGTCAGCCTCAGCAATGATGAGGTGCTAAGCAACTCAGCAAGACCCTGTCTCTAAATAAAATATAAAATAGGGATGGGGATGTGGTTCAGTGGTTTTGAGTGACCCTGAGTTCAATCCCTGGGACCCCCCCACCCCCCCAAAAAAATAAAGAGTATGGAGTTGGTGAGCAGCTCAGTGGTGGAACATTCACCTAGCATGTGCAAGGCTCTCGTAGCACTGGAAAAAAGAAAAGAAGGAAATTCATAAATAAATCAGTTCATATGTTTGTGAAACCATCACCACCCACTATTCCCAAATTGAGACTGTCCAGTAAACACCAACCCTCCATTCTCACTTCCTAGTTCCTGGTGCCCATGATTATAACCCTCTGTCTTTATGGATTTCTCTAGGAACCTTAAATAAATGAAATTCTAAGCAGTGTTTTTGAGTCTTTTTCAAACTTTTTTTTTTTTGGTAGTGGAAGTGAAACCCAGCACCCCACGCACGCTAGGCAAGCGCTCGACCACCAGGCTGCACCCCAAGCCTCTTGCAAATTCTTATTTTGACATAGATTCACGATGAGTTGCAAAGACAGTCGAGAGTTCTGTATATTCTTTACCCAGCTTCTGCTAATGCTAATATCATGTATTATCATTATACACTTGTCAAAATGAAGAAATTAATATTGGTATGAATCCACCATTGGTTAAACTGCAGGCCTCATCTGGATTTTACCAGTCTTCCCACCGGTGCCCCTTCTCTGCTCGCTCCCTCATCCCACCCGGCATCCCACACTGCCTGTGGTCGGCGTCCGGGTTCGCCAGGGCTGCTGTGACGAATGCAGCTTCAGCCAGAGAAGCTTACTYGCTCACAGTTTTGGGGGCCAAAAGCCCGAGATCAATATGAGCAGATGTTATAATTTGGATCCAAAATGTCCCCCAAAGACTGGTGTGCCTCCAGCTTGGTCCTCCTGGGAGGTGGTGGAAACTTTAAGGGGTGGGACCCAGAGAGAGGTCTTCAGATCACTGTGTGGATACCTCGGAAGGGATGTGGGGCCTCATTCCCTCCTTCCTTTCTCGTGTCCCAGCTCTGAGGCGAGCAGTCTGGCCATGGCTGCTACCATGACGTGCTRCCTCACCACAGGCCGTAGGGATGGGGCCAATTGATCAAGGACTGAAGCCTCCAAAACTGTGAGCTGAAACAACCTTTCCTCGTTGGACATGGATTTCTCTCAGTTATGTGTTACAGTAACAGAAAGCTAGCTAGCACAGCATGGTTGGTTCCTTCTGGGCTGTAAGGAGAAGGGTCTCTTGTTTGTGTCTCTCCTTGGCTTGTAGACACCACCTTCTCTCTGACATATCTTTCATGAAGTGGAAAGTTTTGAAGAGTAACAATCAGGCATTGCTTTGACACTTTATTGCCCTTGTAAAGACCTCATTGCCAAGTATGGTCACATTCTGAGGTACTAAGAGGTTAGGACGTCAACCCATGATTTTTTTTTTTTTTTGCAGTTCAACCCTGGGGGTTGAACCCAGSGTGCTCTACCACTGAAAAACATTCTAAGCCCTATTTGAATTTTGAGATAAAGTCTTGCTAAGTTCCCCAGGTGGGTCTCAAACTTGTGATCCTGCTGCTTCAGCCTCCAGAGTTGCTGGGATTCCAAGTGTGAACCACCATGCCCAGCAACATAGGCATTGGGTTGGAGGCACCGTTCAGCCCATAACAGTCACTTTGTCTTCTTGATYGCCTCCAGACTGTGACAGGTTCCTGCTGCTGTGATTTAGTGATTGGTTTGAGTGTGTCCCCTGAAGTTCATTGGTGGGAAGCTTGGTCTCATCTTTGTGATGTAGTGTGAGATGTGATGGGACCTTTAAGGGGTGGGGCTTAGTGGGAGGTGGTTAGGTTATGGGGGCATCATTTTTTGCAAAGGATTAATGCCAATGTCATGAAGTRAGATAGTTCTCTGGAAAGTGAATTTTTATCAAAAGATGAAGCCTGATTAAGCCTAATTAAGTATTATAATGCAAAAAAGAAAGTACATGTATAAAGGCATAAATTGGCATGAACAAACTTTATATATGGAGATATGCAAACTGTGGACTTTGAGTGGCAATAACATGTGCATATTGTTCCACCTGCTGCAAAAAATCTAGGCCTGGTGGGGGCTTTGACAATGGAGGAGGCTGTGCTTTTGTGGGGGTGTATGTGCTGTATGTTCTATAGGTTTGGACAATCCTGAAGGGGACGTCTCCACCAGTACAGTATCACAGAGAAGATTCAGAGTCCCAACAATTCCCTGTGCTCCATTTATTCACAAATAGATTTTCAACGTTCTATAGAGTATTGCAGGTAGAGTTTGAAGCCAACGTGGGAAGTAAATTATTTGGAATATCATAAAGAACAGGGATAAGACCTTTTGAGATCAGAACATGGGGAGGGAGGGCACTGAGTTTTCACTGGAGAGGTTGACATGTTTTGGTCCCACGGGCTCGGATGGCTTACTCAAAAGATTAATTAAAACCTAAAGAGCTATAGTCATTTAAAGGTCATCTAAAAGAGAAATCGCACAAGAGAAGAAAAAAAGTATTTTAATAGAGAAGAAGCACGTCGGGCAGATACCAAGACATATTGTAGACTTGGTTCAGGTTTCTCCAGAAACAGAGCCTGAGCCAAGTATTTGGATATCCACAGTTTAGCTGGGAGGTGATTCCAAGAGAAGCAGTAGAGGAGGGGGAAGAAAAGAGGGACAGGGAGGGGAAGGAAGGAGGGGAACAGACACAGGGGAGGTTGACAGGCCTATGACTGACATGGGCAGCTGGGACTCAGCCCCCTGTGCCTCTGGGGGGTGTATGGAGAGAGTCTCTGAGTTAGCCCCACTGTTGAAGGTCGATTTACTGAGATCGGATTCAGCCTTCGAGTTATTTATGAAGGGACATCCTTGCGGTCAGTCCCAGTAGGAGGAAGGGGAAGTCTATGGAGTTACTTTTACACCAAGTCGTTTTCCACTTCTCACTACAGCTTCCTGGAGCTGGATTACACAAGTTAGAAATCTCAGTTCCACAAGACGAGCCCAGATGTCTTCCTCAAGAGGGGTGCCTAGGGGAGCCACGCTTCAGCCAGGCCAACCATGAATCAGGGGCTCCCAGAACCCACTCCCAGTTTTCCAGATGGCTCACAGAAAAATACATGCTTGCATTCGCTGGGTTGTTATAAAGAACACAACTCAGCCAGATGGAAGAGATGCCCGGATGGAGGGAAAGCGTGCGGCGGTGGGACGCTCTCTCCTAGTGGGCAGCACCCTGGACCCTCTCCTGCTCACCAGCCTGGCACTCACCAAACCCCACCGTTACCAGACTTTTCATACAGCTCAATCTCCGCCCCTGCTTGGGGAACTCTGGCACTCTGGGCCACTATACACCTCCCCAGGGCTAAGTACCAGGCACCTCCAGCCCAGAGCCCACTGAAAAGACTCAAGCTAGCCATGCCCACGCGAGCTTCTTAAACTCTGCCTCSTTTAATTGGTGGAGGGGCTGGAAGTTCCGACCCTCTAAAATCCTCCGATTTCCCTGGTGACCCCTCCCATGTGGAGGCGTCCAAGTCCTACCATTCAACACCTCATTAGCCTGAATTCAAGTGGGCGCACAGAGGCTCACTAGGAATTTTAAAAAGCCACCCTGCCACTCAGGACCAAAAAGATATTTTTATTATGCCACTGGAAGGGAATAGGAGCAGGGAGGGGGACAGTCCAGCAGAGGAGGTCTGACAGCAGCCACAGAGGACTCCGTGGGGAGCTCTGGAACCTGCATGGTCCTTCAGGGGTGCCCCATGTGGACCCCACGTGGACAGATCTTCACAGGCCTGTACCCATCTGGGCTGCACCAGGAAGGAGCCCGACCTTGGAGAAGGCAACTCTCTGCAGTAGGGTGTAGACTGGAAGAGGCTGAGAGGTGTCAGCCGCCTCCAAGGAACTCCCAGCAGCTGGGCCAGCGTGTCCCTCCCTGAAGAGAGCTGGCAGGCATACTTCAGGGTCCACCAGGGTCACCCAGGGAGGCAGGGCTGGGTGTTCATGCTGCAGCTCCTGACAGTCCTTGATTGACTGGGGGAATGAATTCCTTCATGCTTCCAGCCTCCAGGGTGAGCTACGGCAACCAGGAGAGGGCCCTGGGCAAACGGGTTGCAGGGGAGGGTCATGGAAGTTGAGCAGATGGAGGAAAGTCATGCAGGGGTGGGATAGGCCCTGGGGGACATGGCAGCAGCTACACATGGTCATGCAAACCCTCTGGTCTCAGCGGGGAAGACGGAGTAGATTAGTGGAACACACCCAGCCCACACCTGTGAGAATGGGCCCCACTCCTGGGCACTGGATGGAACGGCAAAGGTGAGACACAACCACCCCTTAAAGCCAGGGGCAACCTAGAGGCCCAGGARGGAGGGCCCGTGTCACCCCATGTGGGCTCAGCCCCACAGGGATTGAGGCATCCCAGAGAAGAGGCCCAGAGCTTGTATTAAAACCTCGATGTCCATAGGCAGGGGAAGAGCGTGGCATAAACCTGGGTGGRGTTCTGAGACCTGCCGGGCTGTTCAGGAGGCAGGCGTGGCGTGGAGGAACCAGCAGTCACTCAGTGGAGCAGGAGACTGCCAATCTTTTGCACACCCAGAATTTCTTGTAATCACATTTGGAGTCCTTCCAGCCACTGCTTCGCACTTCCACGCAGTCCTGTCCACCACGGTTGTTGGGCTGCCCTGGCATCCAGTATCTCGTGAGGCTGCAAAACCATCCACGCGGTGAGCCTCCACCCAGCCCCCTCCGTGCGCTGTCTCTGCTCCAGGACATGTGATGCTCTCACATCTGTCCTACCAGCCTACGGTGGACAAGCCTTGTTCCGGACACCCAGTGACATGCCTGAGTCACTCGACCTTGGACCCTGCCTCTTGTTGGCCCCCATAAGAGGAATCCTCCTGCTAAGGGTGTGACTGTCACACGCCACCAACTAGCCTAGACTCCAAACCCCACCCACCTTGCTTRGGGGACTCTGGGCCACTCTACACCTCCCCAGGGCTAAGTACCAGGCATCTAGGGCCAGCACCTCCAGCCTTCCCCAGGGGGCTGCCATGGATGGAAGTTGGCTCCTTCTTTTGAGATCCATGAGAATCTCAAGCTATCCTCTCAGTGGAATTGTCTTCTGTGCCCTTGGTCTCGCTATCCCTCAGATGTTCCAGTAACACTCTCCGTTTTCAGTCACCCACCCAGGCTCCGAGCTCCTCCTGCAGCTCTGGYGGTGGAATTTCACCCAGTGGCCCTCTCTCGGCACAGGAGGATGAAGACCAGCTTCCTCAACTCAGTGAGTGTCCCAGACTCTCAGGCCTAGGGGCCAGGGAGTGGGAACCCCAGGTGTCGCCCGAGCCAGAGCTTCAGAGCATCACCCGGCTCTCTAGGGAGTGCCCTTCCCCCGGGACCTACTTGAGTGACAGAGGAGAGCCATCCACCCAGTACCAGGCGCCTTCCTTATTCAGGTCGGAGAGCCCCAGCCAGGCAGAGCCTTGGATGTTAGAAGTCTGCTGCAGGAAGCTCTGGAGGGGGGAGGAGGAGTCAGAAGGAAGCTCTGGACCCAGCTTGTGATTCCCCAATCTCTCAGTGGCAAGTTCTGCTTGCAGTCTGGCCTCCAGTCTTCTAGCATATTGAAGCCACGGACCCCCTCCTCTGTTCAGGAGCTTGGGTCCTCCCTCATCTGTATGCCATGGGCAGATGTGTTTTGGATGCACACTCAATGTGCAGCTGGCTCGCCTCTCACACACTGGCTACAGGTTCTGAGCACGTTTACATGAATGCATTCATGACGGGGTTAAAGTCTAGGGTCAGACCCCCCTGCTCATGACAGCTGGTCACGCACAGCACCTCTTTTCAAACCTGCATTGAATGACGGCCCATTGGTAGCTTGAAATCAGTCGTGATGGAATATCTACATGGGGAAAGTCGGCAAGTGTAACTCACGAGGACGGCACTTCTGCCAGAGAGCAAGTTGTCACCCCTGGTCAGCGCACCAGTGGGGGCACTGAACATCCTTGTTGCTCCTCAAGCATTCACCCTTGACCAGACTTTGTGTGTCCCTTGCGAGCTGCCTGGGACCCCCTGTCCATGCCCGTCTCCTCCCTTCCACTGGAGGAAGCAGCCCCTGCTCCTGAAAACCCTGTTCTGACCAACGTCTCCTCCCAGGTGGCCAGTGGCCAGATGCCTGCCCAGACCAGGATGGGGCCCACCATGCACCTGCTCCTCAGCGCTGTTGATGACGACTAGTTGGGCCCCCACTTCCTGGCAGGCGGTGACGGAGTCGTGCCAGTTCCGCTGGGACTTGGAGAAGAAGTAACAGTGTCCTTGGAAGAACGTCCAGTCCCAGGGGCAGGGGCGGCACAGGCGGTCTGTTGGGGGAGAGGGTCAGGACCCGTGCTGGRAGGCCATGTTCCCATGTCTGCTCAGCCTTCAAGCCCTGGAGAGTTAGGGACCTTGTATGACCCTGCACCTGGGTGACTGTCCCCTCCCTGGACCCCTTCCACCCAGGAGCCCCCAGGTCCCATCTCCTCCAGCCTGGGAGAAGCAGGGGCTCCAGAGCCCAGGAGACTGGCCTGAGTGCCTACTGTGGGCACGGCCACCTGTGAGCACCAAGGGCCACTGTCACTGTTATCCTGTGTTCCCATTTCACAGATGAGGAAGCAGGTTCAGAGAGGGCTGGTTATTTAAGCAAAGCCTCACAGCACAGACCTTTTGAGGCCCCCAAGAGAYGCAGTGTCTGGTCACTCACCAACTGCTGCCTTCAGCTGGGTCAGTTCCTGGTACATCTTCTCCTGCTTCACTAGCTCCTGCTCCTGTTCCTGGGAGCTGGGGACCTGGGAGACTGTGCCAAGAGAAAATAAGCTACACCTGTTGAACACCTACTGTTTGGTCATCATTTCTGAGAGCCAAGGTGTTGTTTAGTTCTRACTGAAGACAAAGAAAAGTGGCATCCAGAGTAGGCTGAAGCACAGGGTGCATGGAACCGGGACCCTGGCAGGTCCTCCTCCCCGTCCCCTGCACTGATGTGGGGGGTGGGGGCAGGCAATCCCCAAGGAAGCTGCTGAAGGACCCCATGCCAGCTTCGACCCCATGTCCATCCGGGACCTGGCTGCCCAGTCTAGGGCCCAGATAAGGGATCCCCACCCTAATGCCTGCCCTGACCTTGGACAAGGGCAGCCACCAGGATCCCAGCTAAGATCGTGAGGCAGAGCAGCTGCAGCACCAGGGAGACGTGGCCATGGCCCAGGCACCCTAGGAAGAGAAGGAAGAGGTGTTCCAGCGTYCAGTGCCCTGCCTCAGCCTGGCCACAGCCTGCTCCTCCCTGGGGCACAGGACTCCAGAGGATCAACCTCTGCCTGCCAGGATGCGGGAGTGGACACCAGCCTGTGTGCGTGGCTGAAGTCCTTGTCCCAGGTTCCACTCCTTTAGGTCCCACTGTCCAGGGTCCTAATCTTACTATCCCAGAACCGAGTGCCGGGGGACCGTCCACCTCTTGGTCCCATCCCARCTCTACCTGCCAAGCTATTGAATGCAGAAGTCAGTTGGAATCCTGAGCCTTCTGCTGAAGACCTGGTGCCGCTGGCCATCATCAGCCCCTTCTCTGAGTTGAAAGCACGTCAGTCAGAGCCTGGGCAGGCTGGGGCCCGAGCTGGCCCCTTACACCCGCTCCCAACTCCCAACTCCCAGCCCAGCCTCACCCAGAGGACCCAGCTGCTGCACCCTGGCTTCCTTGAAGTCACTCATGATCACCGCTGTCCCTCAGTGCCCAGGGCTGGTGACACCACAGCCTTTATTCCCACCCCCTGAACTTACYGTGCGTCAAGAAGAGAAACAGGGAACTGGGTAGGACACAGGAAGAGGGCCGAGGGAGGGGGCCGAGCCTGGGACACACYACGACAGGGGCCACATTCCAGATCTCAGGGAGCGGCTGTGTGGCCTGCCTCCAGAGCAGGAGAACCGGTCCACTCTCGGGACGGCGAAGCTGTGGATGTTCTTAACAAAACCCACGTCTGGTCAAGCTCCATATTTATTCCTTCTTCACCCGCGGTGAGAGTGGGCAGCAGGCCTCCCCTCCTCCCTGAAACATGCCCCCTCTGGCCCCAGGCATTGCTGCCTTAGTTTGCTGATGTCCTCATTTAGGGTGCCTTCTGTTGACTAGGGACCTGGGCTGAATCATCATTGCTTCTGTGTGTATATATATATATATATTTAATGCATGAACTTCATCAGAAAATCCGTTATCATACTGCTTTAAAAATTTAAAGTAAAAAACCCACCTCAGTGCTTGAATAGATTGAAAAAAAAAAGTAGGTAAAACACAACCTGATTCCTGATTGAAACTTTTAAAAATCCTTTTATTGATTGATTGRTTTTATGGGGTGCTGAGGATTGAACCCAGGGTCTCACACATGTGAGGCAAGCGCTCTGCCACTGAGCCACAATCCCAGCCCCTGACCGAGRCTTTAAAAACTCTTCGGCAACTAGAAATAGAAATGAAGTGTCCCTAATGTGAAATGGTGGTGTCCATCAACCCCCCACAGCAAGACGCATGAGAAATGTCAGGAGCACTCTCACTGAACCCAGGGGGAAGCCGAGTGTGGCGSTGCACATCGGAATCCCTGCTGCTCAGGAGACTGAGGCAGGAGGRTGGCAAGCTCAAGGCCAGCCTGGGCAACATGGTGAGACCCTGCCTCAAAATAAAATTTAAAAGGGTGACATTCAGTGGTGGAGTGCTTGATTAGTATGCACAGGACCTGGGCTCAGTCCCGAGTAACACACACACGCTTGCACACATGCACACACACACGCACACACACGCACACATCAGGAAAAAGAATGGAAAGAAAAACATGTGAAGGACCCCTGTCCAGAGATCACACAGAACTCCTAAAACTCAACAAGAAGAAAAGAACACACTGAGGTTTTTTAAAAATATTTTTTAGTTGTTGATGGACCTTTATTTTATCTATTTGTAGGTGGTGCTGAGACTCGAACCCAGTGCCTCCCACATGCTAGGAGAGCCCACTACCACCGAGCCATGGTCCCAGCCCCCACACTGATTTTTGACATAGGCAAAAGTGCATCTTAACAACAGAAAAACACATCCCGATTATGAAACGGACAGAGCGCCCAAGTAGACACCCAGGTGGCCAAGGGCACATGAAGAGGTGAGAACCACCCAAGAGTCGCCAAATAGCCAATGGTCCCAGGGTGCGCGGAGATGGGAAGCCTTGGTCACCGTTGGCGAGAACGTGGAACGGAGCAGGGCCGTGCTCCAAACGCCACTGAAGGAGTTTCCATGTGGCCCGGTGATGCCACTTCTGAGAATAAGACCAAAAGGATCCAAAGCAAGGATTCAAGGAGATAAGTGTACAGTTGTGTTCGCCAGAGAGGCATCTGCTTCAGCAAAAAGGTGGAAGGAACCCACCCGTCCAATGAACCCACCAGAAATGGAGGTCCAGAAGCCGTCTGCTCACGARGCAGTGGACTATCACTCAGCCTTCAAAAAGAAAGGCCATTCCCATGACGCCACCTGTGAGCAGCGGGGACCTGCTGCGAGTGGAAAAGACCAGTGCACAAAGACAAGTGCTAGGATCCTTTCTTTGAGGGATGATGAAAACCGGTAACAGAGTGGTTATTCCTGCCRTTCCTGTGACCCTGGACGGCCTCAGCCTCCCCAGCCACTGGGATCACAGGTGTGCGTCACCGTGCCCGGCTGCAAATGTTCTCACTGCCACCGAACTGTCCACTTTAAAAACTCTGTAGATGGAAAATGCTGTATCGTTTGGATTTTACCACAATTAAAATGACACTTTCGAAAGACCAAAAATTTCCCTTTCCCTACCTTAAAAGGAAATCAACTAAATTCCTTTTTATCTTTCATTTCTGCTTTCCTTGGCATTTCCTGGTCTATACAACCAAACTTTTTACTCTTTTTTTTTTGTATATTTGTTTTGTTTGGATTTTATTATTATTATTTTTATGTACTGTCAACTTAACCCGGGGGTGCTCAACCACTGAGCCTCGTCCCCAGTCCTTTTTTATTTTTTTTTAAATTTTGAGACAATGTCTTGCTACATTGCTTAGGAACTTTCCAAGTTGCTGAGGCTGGTCTTGAACTTGCAGTCCTCCTGCCTCAACTTCCTGAGCTGCTGGGATTACAGGCGTGTTCCTCTGTGCTTGGCTTTTTACTCCAAAGATTGGAAATTTCACCCCGTTTTCATGGAATGACAGGTGGCCCCACTCTAAAATTGACCACAAAACCTATGGAGATCAACTCCGCTGTTATCATGTTGTTCTTTGGCCGGGGAAATATCAAGAAACCAACACAAGAGAAGCCAAATGCCAAAAGCAAGGATAAGGAACAAAACGGCACAGGTAGGAACAGAGAGCAATGCGAGTTGATTATGGAGGGACATTGGGTCGACACTAGGGCACAGGAAGCCCGGGGTGGGGGGAAGGACAGTGAGGGMCAGCGGGAGACGGGCCAGCGATAAATGAAGGACAGAGACAGGCAGAGACCCTCACCAAGGTTTATTTGTCACAGCTGACAAATACAGGCCATCCCTCTCCAGAGAGGAGAGAGGCCCCAAGATGTTTGGGGTTCAGCTTTTGTGGGTTCGGGCCTTGGAGCTGGAGTTGTGGCGCTGTRGGACAGGCTGGGGACGTCAGAGCTGGGCAGTGGGAATAGCATGGGATTGGCTGAGGTCGATGGCACCTGGGGCTCTCCAGAGCCAAGGGGTCGCGTCCTAAATTCAAGTGCACCTGTGCAGCTGAATACGGTACATGGGGTAGGTCAGTAACGGGGTGGGGGGTCGGGTAAGAGGAAGTACAGGGAAGCAAACTTATCTCATAAGGTGGCTGTTAACGTGGAAGCTGGCTGCTCAGATGTTAAGTCAAGACGCTGTGGGGTGGTTATTTTCCACCAGCCGTCCTCCAGCTCTGGCGCCAGCTACCAGGGGCAGCAGCGGATTCCACCAGGTCTGGGCTTCCTCCCACAATACTGACTTCCTGCAGGTGTCTGCCGCGTGCACGGGCTGACCATGCTTCATCAGGCCAACCACAAAGTTTGGGTTCTTCCAACATCCTCATGTTTGGTAATTTTCCAGGTGGCTCAGAAAAAAAATGTTGCTTATATTTTCTGGTTTATTATAAAAGATAGAATTCAGATGCAGACAAAGGGAAATGGTGTATACAGCAGGGGAAAGAGGGAGGAGTGGTGTGGGGCTTCCCTGTCCCCAGGAGGGCCGCCTGCAGCTCCTCCCTGTCCTCACCTGCCTGGTCTGACCGAGTCTCCTTGCTACAAGAGTCCTCCCAGAGCTCAGGGGCCAACACCCTCCGGCTCCCCGGAGCTGAGCCGATGAGGCTCCAAGTTCCAACCTGCTAATSGTCTATGTGGACTTTCTGGTGACCAGCCTTGTGCCGTGGTTGCCAAGCCACACYGTAACTCGGCTCACTGACCTAAATCCAAGTGCACCTGTTGTCAGATCAGGCGAGGTGGGCAGCGACCAAAGGAGGCAGATTTAAAAGGGCCACCAAGGAGGCTTTATTGAGATATCACTCCCGGGCGGAACTCCATCAGACCCACAGAGGGGACAGGAGAAGGGTCTGAGGAGAAACCGTGTGGAGCTCGACTAGACTGGACTTTTATGGAGCTTACAGCAGGAAGGGAAGGGCTTGGGACAGGGAAAGGTGTTTTTAGGGTCCCTTGTCCCTTGGAGTTGGTCGGGGGAGTTGGCTGAACTCCAGGCTTGGCCAGGGGGTCCTGATGATTGACAGGCCTTAGTCAGGAGATCTCGCTGATTGACAGGCGTTTCCTCCGGCACCTGATTGATGTTCCTTTCCCGCCCGGGCTGCTTTGTTCTAAGTCGCCACTAAGTTGCCACCAAGTCGCCACCACCGACCTAACACCTGTGCAGCTGAATATGAACAAAAAGGCACCTCGTCATTCACAAGCACAGCCTCAAAGCCAGAGGGAGCCCGCAGGCACAGGAGGGAGGGAGGCCATGGCGTAGCCTCTCTGGGGACGAGAAATCTCCTAGAAGAGACCCAGAGCTGGAGTTGAGATCTCCGTGCCTACACCCAGAGAGGAGGGGCTGGCAGAAATGAGAGTGAAGTCCGGTCACCTGGCGAGGAGGTGGGAGCTGCTAGGGCAGCAGAGAGGGACTGGCTGTCACTCGTGGGAGCAGGAAAGTGCAGATTTTTTGCAGACCCAGAATTTGCTGATATCACATTTGGCGTCATTCCAGCCGTCGCCATCAAATTCCGCGCAGTCTTCCTGTCCCAGGTTGTTGGGCTCCGTGGGGTTCCAGTACTTCATGAATCTGCAAAGCCACCCGCGTCATGAGCCTCTGCCCAGCCCCCTCTGTGAGCTGTGTTCTGGCTTCTGGAAACCGTCTGCCCTGCGCGCACATCTGCCTGGTGCACATCTGCCCTGCGCGCACATGCATGCAAGCCTTGCTCAGGAYGCCCAGTGACATGCCCTGCCCCTTGTCGTCCCCCATGCTTAAAAGGAGTCCCCCGAATCAGGGTGGGACCTTCAGACACAATCCAACCAGCATCCTAAACTCCACACCCCAGACACCTTGCTTAGTGGGCTCTGGCACTCTGGGCCACTCAGATACCTCCCCAGGCCACATATGAGACGTCTGGGGACGGCACCTACAGCCCAGAGCCCACGGAAACCACCCAAGCTAGCCCCTCGCCAGGCTGCTCGCTCTGCCTCTCCTCTTCCTCCCTTCTTCTGCACCCTCTGCCTCCCAAYGGGCCCCACATCCTCCCCACGTGTCCTCTGTGGTGTGAGGGACAGGGACACTCGCTCTCTTGGGACCTGGGAGTATAACCATCTGTCTCTTCCCCAGAAATGGTGTCCTGTGATTTTCCTGTGTTGCGCCAGGCTGGAAGCTGCTCCTGCAGCTCCGATAGTAGAATTTGGGGCACCGGCTCTTCTGTCTGAACACGGGTGGGGAGAGCACCCCCCCTCGGCTCATGTCCTAAGCTCTAGGCCTCGAGGGCGAAGGAGTGGGGAGCAGCCCACCGACAAGTCAAGGGACAGTTTCGCAACCCCACCCTCCTCATAGCGTGTCCTCAGATGCCAGGATCCACCTGAGCGACAGAGGGGAGCCGTCCACCCAGTGCCAYGTGGCTTCCTTATTCAGGTCTGACAGCCCCATCCAGGTATGGCCTCTTTTCTTTGTAGTCAGCTGCAGGAAGCTCTGGAGAGGAAGAGGAGGAGACAGGAGGAACCTCTGTGCCCTATTGTCCTGCTAGAGTGACCCACGAGGACCTCGCTCCCCACAGACKGAGTTGTTGGGCACTGGGTCAGCACACATGTGGGAATCTCTGGGCATTTCAGGTGTCCCCACACATTTAGAGTTTGTGTGTGTCCCCTGCGAGCTGCCTGGGACCACCCTCCTTCATGCCCTTCTCCTCCCTTCCACTGGAGGAAGCAGCCCCTGCTCCTGAAAACCCTGTTCTGACCAACGTCTCCTCCCAGGTGGCCAGTG